GTACTGTAAACCCCTGTAGCAAACCCCCCTTAAAACGCAACTACTATCAATAGGTCCTCACCGAAGGTTCTACTGGAAGAATTAATGATTTCATTCCTGTAACTAAAACAAGGGGGAAATGTGACATGGTAAAAGCCCCTCACCCTCACCCCCACCCAGCAGGTGGTTTATAGAATGTCCAAAGTCCACTAGCCCTTGGAATGTCCAAAGCCCCTCGCCCCCACCGCCCACCCAGGAGGTGGTTTACGGGCATAAAAGGTCTTGACGCCCTCCTTTCAGGGCCACGGGTTAGAAAGATGCAAGTCTTCTGCGGCCGCTGGCAATAAAGACCCTGTAATTTGGTCTAGCCTTAGTCTCAGTGGTCATTTCGAGCTCGCTGGGTTACAACAAGAACATCCTGGGAGGTGAGTACTACGTATGCAATACTTCCCAGGATTTAAGTGCAGGGCCCAGAATTTCCATTTCCTCTGTTTTCCTACCATTGACTTTAAAAAAAAATGTTCAAATAACAGCTCAGTATAAATAGATGGCAAAGAAATAGAAAGGAAGTATAAGTGCAAATCAGAGGAATTTATTTTTGTGTTTGTATTTAAGACTTGTAAAAAAAATACTGAAGTTGCAGGAATGGAGAACAGGTTGCTGGATGGGATGTCTCTAGAAACACTGATTTTAATTTTATAAAAAACAATTTAAGGCCCAAAAGTATATAGCATTTCCCCATTTATCTGCCTCTTTGTTTCAGGAAATTGTGAGTACCAGTTCTGGGGAGGCAGTAGGAACAGCCACCCCAAACTCTGATCTCCTCTAAGCAGTTTTGAGAGAGATTTCAGTGTGGGGTCAGACCTGGACAAGGTTCAGCAGAGGGTCGATCTGGACACCCTCTTAGGACAGAATGGGCCCTCGGCTTTTTATGCCACTAAGTATTTTCAGTTTTGTCTATGCTAAGCCTGGCCAAGAGAAGTTTGATTCACAGAGTTTGTGAAATTTTAATCTATTTTAGCCACTTCCCTGTCTCTTTTATAACATACGATAACAAGGAATTTAACCAAAACCCTTATGTTTCTCTACAGCAATTATATTAGCAGCTAAATATTTATTCTTAGCGAGGCAGAAACAATACTAACAATAACAACTTCTCTTCTGTCAATGAATGGTTTGTTCTGGTGATGGCATCAAAACTCACAAAACAATAAAAGGGAAGTAGCACAAATGAAGCTTAAGTCTCCTGTACAGTTTCCGTCTTTGTACTGAATACATGATGCTGAATTCAACCATTTATTCATGTGCTCTAGACAGCAAGTTCCTTTTGGGTAGGGACCATGACTGCTTCAGCTCTTTTTCTAATGACCATATGAAATACAAGCAATTAGCTTATTGATCAGTTTGAGTCTTCAGATATCCTCATTTTTCACCAAAAAACTAGAAAACTGGAGCAACTCTTATCTGGCTACAAACCAAGAAGACTTTATAAGTCATTTCTCTTTGTCTAAAATGGGAGCAGAATTAGACCTTGCTGGAAGACTGACCCCAGTCTGCACAGGACATCCTCAAATCTCTCACGTACAGATGCTGGTGAGAGTGTCCCCAGTGACCTTGGGCTGATGTCCACATAGTGATCCAGGCAGGAGATTCAGGCTGAATTTGTGGGGTACGAACAGAAAATGGAACAGCCCTGGCCAAGCTGCATATCCTAGATCCGGATGTAATATCCCCTGTCCCTGACCAGCTAATGCTGAGGTAGGGGAAGGATAAACGTACTCTACTCAAGTAACACAATTTACAGGAAGGCATAGTTGTGATTATGGCTTTGGATATTTTGTGGCCCTGACATCCCACTGCCAAGGTGCTTGTTTACACTTACAGATTCCGCCATAAGATTCTGTTCATACCAGAAGCCTCCCACACAGCTATAGCAGGTTACTGGACAAGATCTGGAAAACTCAAAGGGCTCCACTCTGAAAGTGGGGCTTAAGATGTCTATGTTGGTCTCTCATGATGCAAAAATGTCTTCTAAGAGTTTTCGGTATGTTTTCAGCCCACAGTCTGGTCCTGTCTTGTGAATAGTAAGCAGTAGCCAGTTTTTAAGTGCAGATTCTAGGTGAGATCAATGTGCCTCAGCATTCTTGGGAGTTACAGCAAGCACAGTAAAACCACAGGACAGATCCTCTCATGGAGGCTCCTTCAACACACTGTAAAGAATATTTTGACCTAAAAGGAAAAACCTGGGGTAAACATAAGTAGAGGGTTTATTTGGGCCAAAGCTTGAAGATGCAACGCTGAAGTATAAGCTGCCCTCTATATACACTCCAATTAGAAGCAGTTATGAGTATAATTTTAAAGGTAAAAAGGAAAGCAAGAGGGAACTGATAAAAAAAAGTTGTCAGAAATTCTTATTGGTTTACAGAAGTAAGTGGTTAGTGATTGGCTATATACGTTGTTAACCTATCAGGTGTGGGTTATAGTGTCCAGTATGGTATTATCAGGTTAATTTATAGTCATTTGTGGCAATAGCAAGCAATGTCAAAAGACAAATAGTTCAAAGAGAGGTACAGTACATGACTGTGGTCTCATTTTAACGTATCACTGGGTCTGATAACTAAAATAACTTGTATTTCTCAGATGAAAGTTCTGTTCTTCTCACAAATCCCAGGACATTCAGAATTTGGAACTGCACATTTAAGACCTGGAGGGGTGGTGGGCTGTGCACATTTGTGGGCATTCAGGCAAAGATAGGAGGGAGTTGAAGTTCTCAGGTTTAATCAATGCACACGTGTGTTCCTGGTTGGGTTTATGGGCCCCATAATCCCTGAATCAGTGTCAGATGTGAAGATGCCAGGCACGCTAAAGGAGGAGAAATAACTGACTGCAGTCCTAAAAAGTTATTTTGTAGAAACATAGTATAACTGCTATAGAAGGGGCTGTAGCTCTCAAGTGGAGAAACCATTCTAATTCCCGATCTGGGGAGTACTTTGCTGCACTTTGGGCACTCTGCCACAAAATTGTGGGTTGTGAGTGGAATCCTGAGAAAGGTTTTTCTCTAAAGTGAAGCCTAGTAGGCACTTTGTGTATAACATCTGATAATTCTGGACACTGTGTGGAAAATATAACTAAAAGCAAAATCATCTCTAATCCTAAAAAACTGTCCACAACAATAGAAAAGCAAGAAAATATTTTGTAACATAATTAAACCAAAATGTGATGTGCATCACAGGCAACCTACCAAGAGATTGCAAATACAGAAACTCACCATAATTAATTCTCAAGCAGAAGACATGAGAGCACCATTTGTCATATACAGTTTATTATAATTTCACTCAGTAATTTGGGAGGTCATCTGGGTTTTCTAATTGGTAATATTCATAGAAAAAATAAACTTCCGGGCCAGGCACATTGGTTCATACCTGTAATCCCAGCATTTTGGGAGGCTGAGGTGGATGAATCACGAGCTCAGGAGTTTAAGACCAACCTGGTCAATATGGTGAAACCCCATCTTTACTAAAAATACAAAAAATTAGCTGGATGTGGTGGCACACACCTGTAGTCCCAGCTGCTCAGGAGGCTGAGGCGGGAGAATCACTTGAAATGAGGAGGTGGAGGTTACAGTGAGCCGAGATTGTGCCACTGCACTCCAGCCTGGGTGACAGAGCAAGGCTCCATCCCAAAAGAAAAAAAAAAGAAGGGCTGGGCACGATGGCTCATGCCTGTAATCCCAGCACTCTGGAAGGTCGAGGCGGGCAGATCACGAGGCCAGGAGATAGAGACCATCCTGGCTAACACGGTGAAACCCTGTCTCTACCAAAAATATAAAAATTACAGGGTGTGGTGGCACGTGCCTGTAGTCCCAGCTACTGAGGAGGCTGAGGCAGGAGAATCACGTGAACCTGGGAGGAGCAAAGCTGCCATGGGCACAATTCCTCAGGGTAGAACCCTGTCCTTGGAGGAGTGTGGGCATGCATATGCCCAGTGGGCGTGCTCAGGAGTGGGTTACTGGGTGGGGGCTGGCGGCAGGGTGCAGGGAAGGGATGCTTCTCAGAACTCCTTTGCTCTAAGTTCCCAGTCCCCTCTCCCCCGGAGGCCTGGAGGAACAGGACAGCGCATGTGCAGAACCCGGCCGGGTCTCCCGCGGACACCCCACATCTCCCTCCAGCCCAGGCTCAGCCACATCTGTCTTCTGACAGAAAACGTTCGGAGTTTGCTCAACAGCAGTCAGTGCTCCACCCCGACGGGACGTCCAGCACCTCACTAACGACACCACCCAGAGTCAGCGCCGGCCCCACAAGCTCAGCGCTCTTCCCGCAGCCGCCCCCCGCAGACGCCAGTCCCGGCCTCTGGACACGCGTCCTCATTTCCGAACCCCGCCCGCAAACCAAGGGCGCCCACACCCTCCTCGGGGTCAGTCACGTGGCAGAACCGCTCAGAACTCTGCGGAGCGCCGGGCGCACCCACGGCGGGGTCTAAGAGACGCCCCCCAGAAACAGCCACGCGGGGGAGACGCCCGGGGCGAGGGAGCTGCTGGGAAAGGGGGCGGCGGGCGATCCGCTTCGCCTCCCCACACCCCTCACAAGAGCCTTTCCTTCAAGACCCGCTGGCAGCCCCCAGAGCGCCAGCCACGGCCGGGGCCGCCCCGTGCACGAGTCCCCGTTTGCTCACGGGAACCCCACGTTTTCACGGAGCCTCCATCTAATCCGAACAGGGTCAAGTAGGGACGGGACCCCGGACCACAGCGCCGCCCACGCGGGCACCACGGAGCTCCTCAGCTCGCAGCCCGGGGAAGGTGCGGGGCTGCGGGCGCAGAGCTGACAACAAGGGCTGCAGGCTGGGCCAGAGCCGCCGTGCGGGGACCGTCGGGAGCCCGGGTCCCTCCGCGGAGGGGACTGAGGACCGACGGCTGAGCGGCGGCCGCGGGGACTCGGCTCCCAGACTCCGTCCCGCCGCCGCCATTTCCCGCCGGTTCCGATGAGGCCTCCGCAGCCTCGGGACGCCCTGCCCCGCACACTCACCATTTCTGGGCTTCGGGGTGTCGCGGAGTCTTAGCTACGAATCACCCGAGACCCCAGGTCACAGAGCGACGGAGGCCGAGGCTGCGGCTGAATCACCCCGGCCTCCCTGAGGGGGCGGAAGCAGGGCGCCGAGGCCCTAACCGAGCTGGGGCTGGAGCAAAAGCCGCGCCAGATCCGGGATCCCGCCCTCTGTCCTCCGGCTGTGCGCCTGATTGAGCAGTTCTCAGTCTAGCGCCCTGATTGGATGTGGCTCCAAGCTCCGCGGCCTCAGGCTTTGAGTGACAGAAATTGCGACCATACAGCGCACGGAATGAGGCAAGAGTGACAGACTGCTTCCTGCAGGCACTTGCAGGCAGGCCTTTCTGTGCTAGGCCTGCCTCTGCTGGGGGTTCATTTTTAACCCTCTGGTGTGTAAGGTTACACGCATTTATAAATTGTGAACGCACGCGCGTGCGCACACACCGACACACGCTTGTTCACAAATGGAAACAATGCTATGACAACTATTTTAATATTTTAGATTTCATAACCTTTCTGGCCTCCGGTCTTTTGAGCAGGACACCTGAGATTTGAAGAGGGAAGCAATGCTCTAAAAAATAAAACGTAGCTGGGCACAGTGGCTCACGCCTGTAATCCCAGCACTTTGAAAGGCTGAGGCCAGTGGATCAGGAGGTCAGAAGTTCAAGACCAGCCTGGCCAATACGGTGAAACCCTGTCTCTACTAAAAATACAAAAAAATTAGCTGGGCATGGTGGTGGGTGCCTGTAATCCCAGCAACTAGGGAAACTGAGGCAGAGAATTGCTTGAACCTGGGAAGCAGAGGTTGCAGTGAGCCAAGATAGTGCCACTGCACTCCAGCCTGGGAGACAGAGGGAGACTCCGTCTCAAAAAAAATAAATAAATAAAAATAAGTTATATGTGAATTTACAATTTTTTATTAGCCACGTAAAAACTAATAACAAGAAACAAGTGAAATTGTTTGTGATCATTTTAACTGACTATATCCAAAATACTATTCTTTTAATATGTCATCAATATATAAGTAGAAATAAAGTGTATTTCTGATTTAATTCTTCTAAATTCACTGTGCATTTTTTGTTCACAGCACATTTTACTTCAAACCAGCCATATTCCAGGTACCCAGTAGCTTCATATAGCACGTGGCTGCCACACTGAGTGTAGCCCTGAGGGCTCTGACCTCAGGGGAGTGAAAGCCTTTCAACCTCTTTTCTGCTGGAAGTGAGGGAACAGCCTCTCTACCAACTTCCCCTCAAGCTGAAGGGTGGGTGGGATAGTGACCCTAGAGAAAGCAGAGGCCCCAAGCAGATAGTGTCCATGTGTCATAGTCTCCCAGTTGCTGTTTGGTGGAAGTGTGGTGGTCTCCTCAGTTCAGCCAGGTCTGGGCTCTCATCCCATGACCAAGAAAAATGAGGCACATGGACACTGGAGAGTGAGTAAAGCAGAGTAGGATTTATTAAGCAAAAGGAAAACTCTGGGCAGAAAGAGGGTACCTGAAAGCAGGTTGCCAGAAATGGGGCTGAGTTCTGGGTCTTTCTTTTGTTGTTTTTTGTTTGTTGTTTTTTTCTTTTTTTTTTGAGACGGAGTCTCGATCTGTCACCAGGCTAGAGTACAGTGGCACGATTTTGGCTCAGTGCAACCTCCACCTCCCAAATCTAAGCGATTCTCCTGCCTCAGCCTCCCGAGTACCTGGGGCTACAGGCGTCTGCCAATACACCCGGCTAATTTTTTTGTCTTTTTAGTAGAGATGGGGTTTCACCATGTTGGCTAGGATGGTCTTGATCTCTTGACCTCATGATTTGCCCATCTTGGCCTCCCAAAGTGCTGGGATTACAGGCATGAGCCGCTGTGCCTGGCCCAAGTTCTAGGTCTTTTATGTGGCAAGAACAAGAAAGTCTTCTGTGGGTTCTACCCAAATGGGAGGGGAAAATTCCCCACCAAGGTATTGCATCTGCACATGCCTGGGGTGGACCACAGTGACTCCATCTTGGTTATTAACTGTGAGTGCATAAGTGAATCTTACAGAGGAAGAACTAAAACCACAATGCTAATATCAAGTTAATGACCTTATAATGAGTGGGGTGAAGTCAAGGAAATTTAGGTTAACTTACTGTCGCTGTGCCTATGTTGGGACAGTCCCGTCTGAGCAACACCCTGGCATAAGAGGAAGTTCTTTTTTTTTTTTTTTGAGACGGAGTTTCGCTGCTGTTACCCAGGCCGGAGTGCAATGGCGCGATCTCGGCTCACCGCAACCTCCGCCTCCTGGATCCAGGCAATTCTCCTGCCTGAGCCTCCCGAGTAGCTGGGGTTACAGGCGTGCGCCATCATGCCCAGCTAATTTTTTGTATTTTTAGTAGAGACGGGGTTTCACCATGTTGACCAGGATGGTCTCAAACTGTTGACCTCGTGATCCACCCACCTCGGCCTCCCAAAGTGCTGGGATTACAGGCTTGAGCCACTGCCCGGCCATAAGAGGAAGTTCTTAACCACATGTAGAAAATGAAATAAATAAAGGTTCCTCTTCAAATTCTCTTAGCCTATTAAGAGTAGCTAGTAGTCTCTTTCTCTAGGTTAATCTACTCAATGGCCTTTGTTATGTCTGCTAGCTATAACAAAGAAATGAGTGTATTTTGTGTTCTTAGTTCTTACATTTTAGCCTAGATACCTGCCCTGATATGCCCGGATAAGCCTGGGCAAGCCTTAGGTTATAGCTTCTTCCTCTTTCCTTATTTAGAAGTATTTTTGCCTCTCTCAGCATTCCATAAGCACTTCCTTTTCCTTTGTTCTCCTCTTCCCTTACCTCTTTGGGAAAGTTTTAAGTTGTTAGCCAATCAGATATAGCCTAGCATGTGAGGTCCGGTTCCAGTCAACGGAATCAGGACACAGCAATAGAGCCAGGTGCATTAGACCTAAATATGCATGCTCTTCCTTTGTTCAGTGCACTCCCATGGCAAGACTGCTGGCTGGCAGTGCCCTTTCTGCAGAAGAAAGCCTTGCTGAGAAACCTTTTGTCTGAATGCTGATTCTTCCCTGCAACATTGGAAGATAAGCACTTATTCCCAACAATTTGATGGCCTGTATGGGAAGCCAGTCCTAGGGGTAGAGAGCCGGGACCCACCAGTGTGAGGAATAAACCCGGATTCTCAGCAACGTGGGGGAAAGGGAGACTTGCTGCGCAGATGGCCAGGCAGCCTCGTGCATGAGCCAAGGTAGGAAATGTCCCAAGAGGGCGACAAAGTACTTCTTCACTGGTCAACTTCTGGAGGATTGAATGTGTGTATGCAGGAGTGTGCAAGGGACCTTCAGAAGGGAAAAGGGAGGGAACAGGTCAACCTCCCAGGGCTGGAAAGGCGAGACATCCCTAGGTTGAGGGGTTGGGCCTTCCGCTGGTTTCAGGAGATTAAACTACACCAGTACCCAATATGGGTAAACTTATAGTAAAACAAAGACAGGAAGCAAAGCTGACTCTGGTGATCAGAGTCCTCCCGACAGCCCTTTAGGGCATATGCTAACATATTAGAAGGATAATGAAAGGACTAAGCATAAGAAAAAAGCAACAAATGGTAAAAATATTGCTGTTTTATTTGGATCAAAGAACTGATTCTCAAGCCTGCAGTTTTCTGGGCAAAATTTAGGTCAGATAAAGATTGTGTCTGTCAACTTCTGATAATGTATGTCAATAATAAGAGCCCCGTCTTACAAGAGGAGATAGATTATGCTCTCTGTTGGCGGCAGGGGCCGTCTTCCTTTACCCATTAAGGGAGGGACGGAAACAACCAGAGAGTAGAACAAAGTTGGGGGGACCTCACCTGACAAGGGTAAAGTTTTGTTTTTTTGTGTGTTTATTTTGTTTTTTTTTTGAGATGGAGTTTCGCTCTTATCACCCAGGCTGGAGTGCAATGGCTCAATCTCAGCTCACCGCAACCTCCTCCTCCTGGGTTCAGGCAATTCTCCTGCCTCAGCCTCCTGAGTAGCTGGGATTACAGGCACGTGCCACCATGCCCAGCTAATTTTTTGTATCTTTAGTAGAGATGGGGGTTTCACCATGTTGACCAGGATGGTCTCGATCTGTTGACCTCGTGATCCGCCCGCCTCGGGCTCCCAAAGTGCTGGGATTACAGGCGTGAGCCACCGCGCCCGGCAAGGGTAAAGTTTTTATCCGTGAGAAACTGTCATATAACCCTCACATCTACCTGCACTTCTGTTCCCAGAAGGAAGGCCGTGAATGTGAGTTGCCCAGATCCTTGATATTTTGAACAAAGAATTGAACAAAGCAATGACACACATGAAGGAGGCAGTAAAAACGAGGGTTTATTAAGTGAGAAAGCACTCCACAGGGTGGGTGTGGGCCCCGGAGAGCAGCTCAAGGATCCGGTTACAAAGTTTTCTGGGTTTTAAGCGCTCCTTTAGAGGTCCCTATCAGCTACCCCCCTTATCTGGATGAAGGATTTGGACCCTGGCCAATTAAAGCCTGAGGTGAATTGGTACCCCATGCAGTAAGAGCATTGTCTGTGCTTGGCCCACGGCCACTCCAAGGCACTCTCCTTTTCTATCAGAGAACTGGTGGAAGGGGAAGGGTTTAGGGACAGTAGCCTTTGATCCTTTGCTAGTCAGGTACGGGAAGATGAGGGTCTTCCTTTTGGTTTAGATGTAGGAAATTCATATTAATTGGCCTTAGGTTCTGTGCTCCCAGACCTTGGTGTTTTTTTCTTTTAGGAAGTCAACACAAATTGGCCTTAAGTTCCCTGCCTCCAGACCCTATTCTCCTGCCTGACTTTTATATAAGTCAAAGCAATGTTTTGTTTTGTTTTTTTTTTTGAGACGGAGTTTCGCTGTTGAGTGCAATGGCGCGATCTCGGCTCACCGCAACCTCCGCCTCCTGGGTTCAGGCAATTCTCCTGCCTCAGCCTCCTGAGTAGCTGGGATTACAGGCACGCGCCACCATGCCCAGCTAATTTTTTTGTATTTTTACTAGACACGGGGTTTCACCATGTTGACCAGGATGGTCTCGATCTCTTGACCTCGTGATCCACCCACCTCAGCCTCCCAAAGTGCTGGGATTACAGGCGTGAGCCACTGCGCCCAGCTAAGTCAAAACAATCTTAAATATAATTCTAAATAAAGGAAAAAGAAAATCAGTACTTGAGGGTGCCAGGCATCTGCAGCTAATCAATCTGTCTTAGCATCCTGGAATCCTGTCTTTAATGGATACATATACTGGCAAGCTATAACTCCATAACAAACACTCCACAACATACTAGCTCAGGACTGCGCTGGTTAGAAATTCAGTCTGGGCTCAGCCAGGCCATGCTTCTGGGTTCAGTATGGCTCCGTCCCGTGTGAGTGGTCAGCTGCTGGTGAATTGGGGGCTCTGCTTCTGCAGGTGAGCTGTCTATAAATGGAGGCACTTTGGCTTTTCTCAGCATGCTATCTTATCCTCCAGAAAGCTAGAATGGGCTTGTTTTCATGGATGTGGAAAAAATTCTGAAAAAGATAACAGAAGCACTTAAGACCTTTTGAGCCTGGGCCCCAAA